TGATACATTTACTGTATCAAAGTTTAATAGATGGAAAAGGTAAATTGTGGCAAAGAGTGTATCGTACATGAAGGTAAGACTCCACTCTCAACACATAAGTTTTCTATTAGATGTTATGAAGATTTAAAAAAACCAGTTATGTCAAGTTTTTAATTCTTTGTGAAATTTTCTTTTAAAAATTTAGACATATTACTTATCCGGATATACATTTATATTTTAATTTGAGGTTGTCAGCCACCCTTATTCTTAAATCATGGCTCTACCCCTGCTTGGTGTTTCCAATATGTGTAAGTGACTTTACACAAAAAGAGAATGTGGGAACAAATTTTGTTGTGTTGAAGTCTGAAGCCAAAATATGTACTAGTTGTCTTTACTCTGAAATAGTGAAGTGGTCCAAAGTCTATTTGATACCGAAGTAGTTGGTAGAGCATATTATGTATTGGATCTATTCACTCAAGAATCATTTTAGAATGATATTTGTTGATAACATATGATCCAATAGGGTCACACCAATAAGACATAGATTGAATGCTTATATGAATTTGATTCTTGATAAATATTTATAACTCTTATAATTAATTGGGAACTATGTGTTTTAATTATGAAAATAATATTTTCCATTACAAGTATCATGGTTAATATCATAAGGAATGATATATAAGTTCATCTATACCTTTTGGTGGGAGTTGGGACTTCTACCTTATCTAAGTTGAGTTTTTGTACAACAACAACTATCATTCTAGCATGGGGGCACCACCGTAGGAACTTTTATATAGGAGGAAGTGTTGTACTCTAGTATGTTGGGAAGAGGTTAGCCATACGGTCATGGTGAGGATTGAGGTGATCCTCCAGACAATGAATATTATTCAACAGATCAGGCAGAGGTTACAGACAACTCAAAGCCACCAAAAAAAAGTTATGTTGATAGGCGTCGGTCTGAGTTGGATTTCCAAGTCGGGGAAATGGTTTTTCTGAAGGTATCATCGTGGTAGGGTGTTATATGCTTTAGTAAGAGGGGCAAGTTAAGCCCCCGATTTATTGGCCCTTTTCGAGTAATGGCTTGGGTAGGCAAGGTGGCATACTGGTTAGATTTTCTTGAGGAGCTTAGTGAGATTCATAGCACCTTACATGTTTCTCAGCTTCGTAAGTGTATGGTTGATGATTCGGCGATGGTTCCGTTAAACAAAATCCAGGTCCATTAGTGCCTAAATTATATGGAGAGGCTGGTGGCTATATTCGATAGGAAGACGAATGCCTTGCACAACAGCGTGCTGCCCTTAATCAAGGTTCAATGGCGACATCGAAAGGGTTTGGAGTGGACATGGGAGCCGAGGATTTCAAGGTCGAAATCTAATTCAAACGGGGGAGAATTGTAACACCCCATATTTGAAGGTATTATTAACATTTTATTTAAAGTTGGATTTCAAAGAAATTCACCTTACGATAGGCGTAGGATAGTTCCCTACGATGAGTATAGGAGGGAGTTTGGACGTGGGGATTAAGTGACCTATGATGGGTGTAGGTTCTGAAGGGTTTTATACAAACAATCCTATATATGCATGCAACCCTAATTGGATCTATGTTTTCACTATTAGACATACAACTTTATGAACACAAAATGATACCTAGAATGCATCTACTATTTTCAAAATTGACATAGGAGAATAGAATACATACCTTTTGTTATTATATAGTAATAACTATTAGAATAGTGTCTAAGCCCGTAACTATATTTGGTATGTACTTGACCCGGTTGTGCATGGTCCTTTTGGGTTGCCTTCACCAAAACAACTTGACAAGGTAATTTAAGGAGAAAGAGAGAATATTATGATTTATTATATATTATAAGTATAATATATTAAAGGAGAAATCATACTTATTTAATTAGTATTAGTCATAAATTAATTAGGAATTAATTTGGTGACTAAAAAAGATTAACTAAATAAAGGGGTATAAACCGTCAAATGTATGATAGTTAAGTTTTGGGCTAAGGAAACCTTATGGACTTAAGGAGGAACGAAATTATGATGGGGATCCATCATATTTTCGTCCAATGCCTTATTCCAGAAGGTTCCTTGGGCTGCTTGGTGGTTAAGCTGTCCATTAGGGTTTAGACTGAAACCCTAGTTGCATGAAAGTATAAATAGGACCCCTAGGCTATGGAAATCGGCTGCATGCTTCTAAGAGAACCCTAGGGTCGATTTCTAGTATCTCTCACCCTCTCTCATATTTCCTTCTTGCTTGTGGAGTTTGTGAACCATTAGAGGAGTTGAAATAGTGACTCTAAGCTTAAGATCAAGAAAACTACAAAGAATTCAAGCTATTTGAAAGAGGTAAACACTTAGATCTGTTCTTATGATGTTGATTTCGAATTTTCTATGATAGATCTAGGGTTGCAAGTCTTAGATTCAAAGCATGTACAATAGAGAAACCTAGATCCAAGCATTAGGGTTTGTATGAGCACATATGATTGTTCTTATGCCTAAAACTCATCAGTGGTATCAGAGCCTTGATTGGTTTCAATTGTATGTGATGCTTAACTGTTTTGCTTGCTGAAAATCAAGTTTTTTGCCTCTGCCTGATCCAACTCGGCGAGTTAGTATCTGGACTCAGCGAGTTGGCCCCTACTCGGCGAGTTCGTGCATCAGGCAAAGGGTATTTCGGGATTTAGTTGTTGTTTTGACTTGAAATCACTACTAGAAAAAAGGCCTTTTACGATGCTCATTACGCGTCGTAAAATGCTCAGGCGACACGCAAATGCGCGTCAAGGAAGACCCTGTCATAAAGAGAGACGACGTGCATTTACGACGCGCATTTATGACGCGCATTTACGACGCGCGGTTATCACACGCAATGCGTATCAAGGAAGGCCCTGTCATAAAGGAAGACGACACGCATTTGCGTGTCGTAACCTTACGACGCGCATGTTTATGACACGCAATGCGTATCAAGGAAGCCCCAGTCAAGAAAGACCATGTCATAAATGAAGACGACACACATTTTTGCGTATCGTAATTTTAATTTTTTTTTTAAATATATTTATATATTTGTTAATTTATAAATTAAATTTGCATTTAATCTCTCATAATACAAAAAATACAATAAATTGCACAAAAGTTAATGTCATACAAATAATCATTCCAATAGCAAACAAATGTAATACATTAAATAATCATTCCAATAGTAGACAAATGTAACATTTCAACATTTTTTATATAATTAACTAAATTATTAGCCAAATTTCCTAAACTACCAACATACTTTCTATGAAGAGCATTAACACTATTCTTTTCCATCAAAAAATTCAAAACCTGCATAATTTAATTAATGTTTAATTAGCTATAGGTCAATAAGGTAGGTTTAAGCAAAAGATTTTCATAATAGTAAGATTTTACTTACCACTGTTGTTAATGACATTGAAAGAAGCAGCCTAACAAAGACCCCCTCAGAAGGATTACTACCACATAATTGTTGATATTTGATACTTTATTATTAAATGAAACCAAAAACAAAGTTAAAAAGTAAACAAAATCAGAAGGTTTTAGTCAAACTTATAGAGGCTGTAATTTCAAATATTACTAAATGACATTGATTGAACCACCTGCAGATTTACCATTTTGTCCCTATGAGATTCACTACCGGGGTGAAGGGATGTGACCATGTTCCAATTTGTTCCACAAATGGCAGAAAAAAATAGTTTTTTTTTACCGAATTGAATTTAGAAAACTTACCTCAATGCTTATTGCTTTCATCTATTGTAACAAAAATTTAAAAATTCACCAGTTCAATGCCTTCATCTATTGTAGCCTTCCAACATTGCAGGGACAAAGTTGGAAACTTTTTTATCTCTAGTTGCCTTGTATGGTTGAATATTCAAAGATAATCCACCTCTATAACAAGAAATAAGTTCATGTTAACTTTTCATAAATAATTAGTAAATATTAGTTTATGGTTGTACACATATCAGATCCATCAATTACTAAGGCTCTCTTTGATGCAACTTTTGTGATAAAATAGATGATCATTACTAACAAATAGAAAAAACAAAGATGCAAATATATATATTACCAAGCAAAGAGATGAACCGAATTGGCAAGTGTGTCACAGGGAACTGCGATGGATCAAAACGAAGAGATGGAATCTTCAGTCGTTGAAGAGGTGAACTCAAATCAGAGATGGATTCTATCCAATCACATATCAGGAACAAGTTCATTAAAATTATTTGCAATCCCATCACTACCCTTGTAACAGCCCAAACCTACAAAACAAACACACCCACTAAGCAAAATAGAATGATGCAAAAAAGTATGAAGCATTTCAATCCTAATCAAAAGATACTTTTGGCTTCTTCTGTATACCACCATCTCTGGAATCGGAATTATCAAATCCTTTGTTCAATCCAATTTATTTTCATTTTCTTTCACTATCTGTTCATCATAATCATTCATATATATCAATTTATAAGCAATAGGGACTTGAAGATACAAGCAAACTAGTTTCTAGAAGCTTTTTCAAATTAACACATTACCTGAACAATAGAGCTTGTTTCCAGACCTTTTCTAACAATGAAGTCATCACCAACAATCTGCCACAGGTTATCATCATCTTCCCCACTTGTTCGCCCCACCCAAATATACACTATCTCGCCCATACTCCCACACAATGGTCTCCAACCTTCCCCTAGTGTGAAAGCAGATGGTGGAGTTTTGAAGTTTGAAATGGATGACTTGATTTGTCCCATGTACTCATTGTGAAACAATATTTTATGAGGTGTTTCAGGTTTACGTGAGGTGGATATTGGGTTAATGATCATCAACTCATGGTGGAGTTTCTAGCTCTTTAATCATGAGTTGGACATCCTGGACTAATCTTGGATATTGCTTGTTCTGCATATACAATGGTTAATATTTGGGTTAGTCATCATCAAATCCAAACAAATAGATTGTCAGAGAGCACAAAAATTAAATATAATATGGCACACATACTAAACATGCCAATATTCATGTAAGCTCCATCGAATGATCCTCTTCACTTGTGTTAACATCAACGAGGGTTGGATAAATTATCGACCATGGAGATTGTTTTGCCAGCATGACCAAAATGCCCTCGTGCTGTTTCCTAACATCTTCTTCAGCGTGAGAGCTTAACCGAGAAAAAATAGTTGAGGAGTTACTTCCTACAGAAAAGGGAAAAAATACTAGTTAGAACAGAACTGGTTAGGTTACTATTATATAAAAATAGCAAAAGGGGTCCCACCTACCTACCATGCCAACAAAGGAACCGTTGAAAGTGCAGGTTCAAGGGGAGCTTTTAACTCCACCCCATAGTTAAGGATAATATGCAGGACATGAAGTGTAGCTTTCAAGGTATAACTAGAATTCTTTTGACCTTCTGTTTGACTACCCCATAACTTGGAAGATGAATGTGAGAGGTAATTTATATAAGCTTGAGCTGCATGCCCAAATAGAGATACCCTTCTCTTTCTCAAACACCACCAAACATCAACCAACTTGTTAAAAACACACTTCCCTCAACATCAATATTGTCAAAAAGAAAGAATTTCTGCAACTTGGAAGCAACAACAACAGAAAGGCATTCAAGTTCTCCAGCTGCAGCTTCTATTATATTCACTACTTGCTGCACCACCGCATGAACATTGTTGTTATCTAAGTCTTTAACATATGTTTCTTTCCGAAGAAGCTCTGAAACAACATGTTTGACTCTTGAGACCTCTTCTTCAGTTAACCTAAACCTATCTGGTACAAATTCTGAATCAAGAATTGGAGAAAACGAGTAGGATTTAAATAGAAATGTGCTAAAAAAGAATATATATATATATATATATATATATATATATATATATATATACACACAATAAAATTAGTTAATTTATAAACTCAGTCTTATTTAATTCAAGAAAAACAAAGAAACTTACTCATACAACTTCAAAATGCTTTTTAAGCATACCCAGTTCCTCCTCATGCTTTGATTCCCACCCTCAGTGATAGCTCAAGCATCCGATTTTTGATTCAAACTTTAAAAAAAATCAAAATATTAGAAAAAGAAAAAGATGAGAAGGCGTTGGATTTACTGTAGTTTCTGCCTTGGTTAGAAGTACTGGTAACATAATCGAGACCCAAAAGACATCAGCATCAGAACTAAAAGACGTTAGTAGGATCGAGAAAACCCTTTTCCCAATTCTAGGGCTTCACATTATCAAAGGATCCTTGACCAAATAACAAGAAATGAATTCTAAAATCAAGCATGTAATAAAAAAGATAGAAAAGGGGAATCAGATTCACATATGGTGGAAGAATGACCGGTGGCTCCAAGGGTACAATCGACAAATATGAAGTTTGCGGGAATCAATAACCTCCAATACCTCACCGAGCATCACCGGAATATGACTCTCGGTGTCACCAAATTGATGAAAGCTCTCCTCATCGAACTTTTTATCCGATCGAGTCCTCCTCTTCACTACAAAATCTATTAGAACTCGACGACTATTAGCAATAACGGAATTATCTTTTCAGTTTAGCTTTTTCTTGTTACGAGTAGAAGCAGATAAGGTAGTGGAATAACTAGCAACTGCGAGAAGGGAAGAGGAAATTTGGCGGCGGCAGCAATGCAACGACGATAAGGTGAATGAAGGATGAAATAACAGTTTCTTAAGGCGATAAGTTGAATACATATGCAAGATTTTGACTCTCGATTCACTATAGGGAATGAACCAAACAAGAGCCATCAAATAACCCTAGGAGTGAAATTAAAGAACCCGTGAAGATTTTAGTTGTGCGAGAAAAGAGAGTGGTGAAGATATTAGGGTTTTTTTGGGTATTGATCAGTGAGAGATCGAGAACAGAGATGGAAACAAGGTAGAGGATAAAATGGCGGACTTTCAAACTTTTGTGATTTTCAGCGGAAGAGCTCTCACTGATAGAAAGGAAGTGAGCGCTCTTCGTCAACCTGTCTACAGTCACCGAAATTGCATCGACGCCTCTCACGGTCCTCGGCAATTTGGTGATAAAATCCATAGTAATATGTTCCCACTTCCACTCGGGAACCTCCAATGGCTGCAACTTACCATGCGGTCTCTGGTGCTCGGCCTTAACCCTACGACAGGTTAGGCACCTCTTAACGAACCACGCGACGTCCCTCTTCATACAGGGCCACCAATACTCCCTCTTTAGGTCCAAATACATCTTAGTGGCCCCGGGATGGATCGAGAACCTCGATCTATGCGCCTCCTCCATCAAGATGGTACGCGTTCTACCCACGAACGATACCCAAATCCGACCCTGAAAAGTCATAAGCCCTCGGCTATCGGTAACAAACTCCGATACCTTCCCGATAACCAGCTCTCTCTTACGGTTCTCCGATCTCACTTCCTCAGCCTGGGCCCCTCGAATGGTGTCCAACACCGAATTCATCACAGTCAATCTCATATAAATGTCTCGTATCGGGGCACTCTCTGCCCTACGACTCAGGGTGTCAGCTACCACATTAGCCTTGCCCGGATGGTACAGGATCTCACAATCATAATCCTTTACCACATCCAACCACCTCCTCTTCCGCATGTTCAAGTTGGGATGATCCATCAAGTACTTCAAACTCTTGTGGTCCATGTATATGGTACACCGAACCCCATACAGATAGTGACGCCAAATCTTGAGGACGAGCACTACTGCCCCCAACTCGAGATCGTGAGTGGGATACCTCACCTCATAAGGCTTCAGCTGCCTCGATGCATACGCCATCACATGCCCCCTCTGCATGAGCACTGTACCTAACCTGGATATAGATGCATCATAGTAAACCACGAAATCATCAACTCCCTCTTGGAGGGATAGCACCGGGCTTCACACAATTTCTGGCGAAGAGTCTCAAACAAGGTCTGCTGCTCTAGACCCCATGAGAAAGCAACACCCTTCCGCATCAAACTAGTGAGTGGCACTGCAATCTTGGAGAAATCCTGAATGAATCACCGATAATAACCGGCTAACCCCAGAAAAATCCTGATTTCGGAGCCAGACTTCGGTATCCCCCAGCTCATCACCGCCTCAATCTCAGCCGGATCGACCAAAATCCCATTCTGGTTAATGAGATATCCCAGGAATTGGACCTCCTGTAACCAGAAATCACACTTGAATAATTTAGCATAGAGCCTCTCCGATCTCAAAACTCCGAGGATCTCCCTCAAATTCTCATCATGCTGCTCATTAGACCTCGAATACACCAGTATATCATCGATGAACACGATCACCGAGCGATCCAACATCGGCCTGCATACTCTGTTCATGAGATCCATGAACGTTGTTGGTGCATTGGTGAGCCCGAAAGGCATCACCACGAACTCATAGTGCCCGTATCGCATCTGGAATGCCATCTTCTAAATATCCTCATCACGCACCCTCATCTGGTGATATCTAGACCTCAAATCAATCTTGGAGAACCACAATTCCCCCTGAAGCTGATCTAATAAGTCATCAATTCTCAGCAACGGATAACGGTTCTTGACTGTTAACTTGTTCAACTCCTGGTAAGCTATACACATCCGGTGCGAACCATCCTTCTTCTTAACGAAGAGAATCAACGCTCCCCAAGGTGAGCTTCTCGGACAAATGAACCCCTTCCCCAACAGTTCCTGCAACTGTGAGGATAATTCCTGCATCTCTGGCGGTACTAGGCGATATGGCGCCATAGCGATAGGCGTAGCCCCGGGAATCAAATCGATGCGAAACTCCACCTGCCTCTCGGGAGGCACACCCGGGAACTCCTCGGGAAACATGTCCGGGAAATCATGCACTATTAGAAAATCACCAACTGAACTTGGCCTCTCAGCAGCCTCAAACGTATCCATCACATAGGCTACAAACCCCTCGCAACCCTGCTGCAAACTCTGCCTCGCTCTGGTAGCCGAACAGAATGTTGAATCACTAGAAGTCCCCTCACCATAAACTGTCAGCACTCCCCCACTAGGAACTCGAATCGTCACCAGCTGCCGCTCGCAGTCTATCACCGCCCCAAAACGGATCAACCAATCCATGCCCACGATAACACATACGGCCCCCATCGCAATCGGGACCATATCTATCAGAAACTCAACTCCAAAGATCTCAAGTACACATCCCCGAATCACTTCTGTGGCATACACTGCCCGCTCGTCAGCTATGGAAACACGTGAAGGTCGACTCATCACCTCTCGCTGAATATCGATGTGCCTACTAAAAGCTAATGATACAAAGGACCGACTCGCACCCGAGTGAAATAACACCAAAGCAGGTACAAAATTCACAAGGAAAGTACCTACGCATATCATGATTTAAGCACAATATCTCAACATAAAATAAATACATGAAAGAATACATACCATCCACGATGTCAGGTGCTGCACGAACCTCCTCCACTATCAGCTGGAACGCCCTCCCTCGCGCCTTTGGCGCCTCGGCCTTCACCAGCCGACCCTCAGTAGCTCTCGCAGTAGCAGGGGAAGATCCCTGAGATGTTCCCTGTGTCGTCTCTCGCAACTGTGGACACTCCGCCTTCCGATGCCCAGTCTGGTTGCAATGAAAGCGGACCATGAATCCCTTGGGGCAATCCTTGGCGATATGCCCCTCCTTGCCACACTTTCCACACTTTCCGCAATTGCGGCCCTTCTAACCCCCAAACCTCAAATTAGCGAGCTTGGCCCGATTTGCTGTCGGCTGAGACTGTGTCACCGCCGATCCATCCTCTAAGACTCGGCCTCCTCCCTGGCCTACATCTCCAACTCAATCTCCCTCTTCCGAGCATTTTCCTGAAGCTCAGAAAATGTCCGGTATGATGAGTTTGCTACAAACTCATGAATGTCTCTCCTCAGAATGCTCAGATATCGGCTCATACGTGCCTGCTCAGTCGGCATGTGCTCAGGGCAGAACATCGCCCTCTCGTGAAACATCCGGGTAATCACAGTAACTAACTCAGTACCCTGCTTGAGTGTCAAGAACTCCTGAGCCAAACGCTCTCGTTCCACCACAGGAACGTACTCATCACGAAACATAGCGGTGAACCTCTCTTAGGTCACCGCGGCAAGCTCTGCTAAAAAATAGTGCGCTGTCACGAACTTCCACCAGTCCTTCGCCCCCAAGCGAAGCTGGTTTAGCGCGAACCAAACTCTCAGATGCTCCGGACATGAACATGTGTAGAAGCACCCCTATATGTCAGAGATCCACCTCATCGCAGCTATCGGATCCTGAGTCTCGTCAAACTCTGGTGGCTTGGTGTTGCTGAACTCCCGGTACAACAACGAGTCACCCCCCTGCGGCCTGGCAGCAACAACGGCCGCAGTGGCTGCTGCAACAGCAGCATCAGAAAGAGCAACATATCGTTCATCAAAAGTCTCAATCAAAGTTGTCTTAATAGACCCGAACATCTCTGGAATCTCAGCCCTAATGGCCGCAGCCACCTCCTCGTGGATGATCCTACAGATCTCCTCATCACTCGTCTTACTGATCTCTGGTGTGTAGCGTGTCCCAACCATGATCTACCTCTGAAATACAACATAAAGAAATATCAGCGACTCGCTCGAGCATACATACACTCGATAAACCCACCTTATTTGTTCCTTGGTACCCTAAGGATTCTTACTTGGACTGTGCACTGACCCGGTGTCTTCAGTAGTATGGGCCCAACACTACCCCCACACCGCATCAGCATCCACCCAAGTCCTCCTCCGAGGATCCCAAATCACAAGTACTCTACCTCTTTTCACATATAAACTACCCTTCGGTAGACTCTCATAGCACCTCACTGCTACCTACTTACTCTAAAGCATCTTATGGCAGCAGAAATCTTCCTAGGCTAAGGCATCACAAATCAGGTTACTCTAGTCCTAATATGAATACCTAGCCTACTTTAGCATGTATAGCAGAATTTAATATATCTCATAACACAAAATGTAAGGGTATTTTGGGAAATCACCGTTCGGGCGCTGGCTGATCGTACATTCCTTGCGTATCTTTTCAATTCTTTTACTTTTCAAAAAAATGTTTATCTTATGAAAAAATTCTCAAATCCTCAGTTTGAGTTCAAATACACCCGAAGGTGAATCCGAATCCCTCAAACCAAGGCTCTTATACCAATTTGTAACACCGTAAAATTTAAAGCAATTTTCATTTAATTTTTAGTAAAACATTTCATCATTAAATCATCCAAAAGTCAAATATCCAATGTTTCCTAAAAAATACATAACATAATCCATAACCCAAGATCTCAAAAACATGACATCTGTAAGTGTGTACTAATCAAGCTGGCGCCTTCCCGCGATCCTCACTAGTACCTGAAACACGTAACACATAATGATGTAAGCACGAATGCTTAGTGAGTTCCCCAAAATACCACCTACTGCACATATGCCTTTCCAAGGCCCTAGGATCTTCCGATCCAAGTGTCTCAGGGGATTTCCATCCCAGAACTCTGTTGACCTTCCGGTCCATATCCTTTTGACCTTTCGATCCATATCATCATACTCATATCACATAACATATCACATATAGCATACATCACATACACAACATACATATAAGACCTTTCGGTCACACATAATTAACCTATTGGGTAAGGCATAGTGAGAAGACTCACCTCGGGAATGTCTCAGAAAATCACAACTCGGTATCTCTGAACCTTGAAACAACGACCTAGCCTCGCCTAATC